CATTCCGGGAACCCAAGAGGCAAGAAAATTTTGGGAATGATGAGGGCAACAAATGTATAGATGTGCTTTACACAATTGATCTATGTATTGTGACGAATTGTATGAGCCCCAATAAATTGATTAAAAAAATAAAAAAAAATTATCTAACTACCACAGGAGGGGAGAGGGGAGTTTAGAAGTTTTATCTAAGTTTGATCAAATGTTGAGAAACATCTCGTGAGTGCTCATGATCTAATGTATTGGGATCTTGATTTGCCACAGCATCTCTGCACAGGAAAGCACATGTCGGCACAGCATCTTGATAAACCTGGCTCTCTCGATTTGTGGAGAGACTCTATCCAGAATCACAGAAATGTCCTCGGGTGACTATCAATTCATAGGAAACCTCTTAACTTCTCTACAGACCGGCTACCCCTTTCCAGCAAGAAGCATGGAGAAAAGGTAAGAGTTCATCCAGTCCTGTCTTATTCCAGTGTCACCTTTGCTTTTGTCTCCTTAGTCAGCATTCTGCTGTTCCACTGCGGGGGAGGACATTCAGGAAGTAATGACGGGGTCCTTAGGAAAAAGAAGAAGAAATCAAGCTCCCTTGTGGCAACTTTGTGTGGCAGTCCTCTCCATAGTGGGACATGGAAATAAGGGAAGCCAGGATTTTTGTCCATCTTGGATCCTCTTCCAATATTCCCCCTTCATTCTAAACATTTAAATCTGATGCCAGGCTGAGAAACCGTTTTCCCCCATTTAGGGAACAGAATAACAAACACGCAGAGCTTCCCAAACTAACACCTGGTTAATCACCTGGGTTTCACTGTTGTTCTTCTTTTTCAAAAGCTCTGCACCTTGTGTATCTGTCAGAGAGCCCACTAAAACCAGAGAATCCAAACTGGGATAGCTAAAGAGACTTTAATTTAAGGTACAAATTATAAGAGAGGCCCAGTAAGGGAAGGCATTAAGAGATCTTGAAGGACCATAATTTTAAGCAATTGTGGGAAGCATTTATCATCATTAGGCTTAAGGGGCAAGGAAATGTTACTAGAATTCAGGGAGGGGTGGAGGTGTAGTTGTGCCTTCAGTCCAGGCCCACCAGATGGGGCTGTGTTCTCAGGGAGTGTCACACTGGCACTGCCCCTGCCAGTGAGGATGACTACAACTGAGGAAGGGGAGAGCCAAGAGAAAGATGGAAAATATTATACCCTTCACTCTGTGCCCTCCCCATGTGTGTCAGAGTCACAC